CGCATCCTCGGCGGCGCGCAGGGCTTTGAGCCGCGCCACCTCGGCGTGCCCGAGTGGACGGCCAGGAAGCTCGCCAAGACGGACAACGCCATGCACTTTTTCAACACAAAGGAGGAGAGAGCGCACTTTGTCGCGCGCCAGCCCGACTTCAAGTTTGAGGGCGCCGAGGAGGCTGTACGCAAGGTCATCCTGGAGCGCGCCGTCAAGGGCGAGCACGAGAAGCCGCAGTACAGCGAGGGCAAGAAGCCAGTCGACTTGGCGAGGAACGCGCATCTCAAGGATCCGACATACAGAGAGAAGGACGTCGAGACCTTTGAGGCCAAGGTGAAGCAGCTCATTGCTTCGAAGAAGGGCAGCGCCGGGCAGCAGGGCAAGAAGGCGCAGGCTTAGGACAGAAGAGAAGCCGGGGAAAAAGTCCATGTGTAACAATCTGAGGCCGGGGTCCTCGCTGTACTGTCTGTCATAGACCACACACACGCATTGTACATCAGAATTGGGGTCTTCTTTGCATTTTTCTTTTGGTCTGCAAAAGGACGTAGCTGAACTTCGCCTTATCATCCATCCGACTCTTCTTTTCTCCCATGTTGCCAACATACATGTGACGTCTTATCCTACATGCTGCGCCCAAAATGAAGACGACGGCGCCACCTACTTGAACTGCTGCAGCGTCTGCTTCTCAACCTGGTCGATGCCGTCCATGACCTTTTTCTGCTGCTTTTGCGCCTCGGCATCGACCCTCTTGCGCAGGTCGGGCCCAATCTCCTTCTGCATGGCCCACTTGGCGACGACCTTCTTCCTGCGGTCGCTCGCATGGCGCACCCTCTCGCGCCAGGCGAGGGTCAGCGCCCTGGCCTTGGCGACGAGGTCCTCCTTGCGCTCGGGCTCGACCTTGAGCAGCAGCTCGAGGTCGTTGTCCGGGCTCGGCTGGGGCTGCTGGTTAAAGTCGGGGCTCGCCTGGACGGCGTCCGAGATGGGCTTGAGGTGGGCCCTGTCGTGGGCGAGCAGGGCGACGGTGCGGCCGCCCTTGGGGACGACCTGGGCGAGCTCGCGCAGCGGGAAGCGCTCGGGGGACTTGGGGTTGGGGGCCACGGGCAGGGCGCCGATCGAGTCGGGGTTGAAGCGGCCGCCCGTGGCAAGGCGCCGGAGGGCGTCGCGGAAGTGCGTGTCGAGGGCCGCCCAGCGGGATGTGAGGTCGTCCGTGTTGAGGGGGTCGGCGGCGTCGGGCTTGGGGTGCCTCGCGGCGTCGGCGTCGTCGTCGTGGTCGGCGGCTGACGTCGAGGCTGAGTTTCGGGAGGACGAGGCCGATGATTGTGATGAGGAGGGGTTGTGCTCTTGCTGCTCGACCATCTTCTTGGCTTTGGACTTCTTGAGGGCCGCGGGCGTCGTATGGAAGCTGCGGGACGGGGAGGAGGCTGCTCTCGGGAGCACCACCACGAGAGCGGCGGACATGGGAGCTACATTCTGGCTTGGAGACAGTGTCAGATAGGGTATGTGTTGGGTGCCTCCATGTTTGAAGTACCTTGCTGCAGCTCTGATGATAGCATTGGCGCGTGGGAGGGCCAGCCTGTGGGCGCGGAAGCTGTTCATCTTGACGATTGATGGGGATCGTGTGATGGCGGAGGTGTACTGTAGTTGGTTGCGTCAGGTTCAGCCAGCTACCCACCTCTTCGACAGGTACTTTAGGGTACCTTACCTAAGGTAGGTACACCCACTGTAGGTACCTGACCCAGGGCCGCCGGGAGCAAGGCTGCTATAGCGGTGTGACCCTTCACGGCAGTTCAGCATGACAGTGCCCTGGCCTGCGCAAGTGTGGAGTGCCAGTGCTTCACAGCTGGCGGTTCGTACATGATCATCTGTGAGCCGCATCATGAAGACAACATTCGGCCATGTTGCCCGGCTGAGGCGTGCATGGCCTTCTTATTCCTGGCTGTGCAACATTCGGCCTCGTATTGGAGCACGGAACGCACAACACGATGACTCTGGAGACGTACTTCATGATGGTGCCGTCTTTGGGGCAGTCCATCACAGCTGTCACTTGACCACCATCACGGCGAACAACCTTCACGTTACGATTGCCCACCAAATACGCCAACACGCAAGAGCTCTATTAATTATTACTGTGCGAATGCGTCCGGCATGGTGCCCACCCTAGTGGCAGACACACATGGCCTTCAGCAACCCGAAAATCCTTCCCATCCCCTCCAACGGTGTCCACCCTACTGTGCTCTCAAACGTCTGAAGTCCGACCGAGTCTTCCCAACCGGTCCCATAGTTTCAAAAACCAAGCAGCCGACCACCTTCGACGAAGAATGAGAGTTCCTTCGTTTTTTGAGTTTTTTTTGTGGGGTTTCTTCGTGTTCATGATTGTCTCGAAACGACGGGTATACGGGGTATCAAAGCACAAAGGCAGGTGTCGATACGGGAAAAACAGGACAACGAAATAAGCCAGATCTGGCGTGACAGTGCTGAACAGGTCAGAGTCGGGACGAGGCTTGCGCCGGCGGTACCCAAACGTCTGCCCGTCAACCGATGCGAATATGCATGAAAACAAAAGTAGGAAAGGGTATCAGAGAACCAATTTTTGACGGGGTATCTTGGAAATGCAGATCCGATTCCCGACCAAAACCGTTGGCGTGATGTGTTGCGTCGTTGCTCTTGCGATGTCGAACTGGTGCGTGGAAAACAAACTGGCGGCCACCATCAGACGTGCGACCTCCGGAGCGGCATGCTGAAGCGAGCGCTCTAAGCGGCGGCAGTCACGGCAGGGGTGGCGCCGGTGACGGGCTCAGGCTTGTTGACGGGCTCCTCGGGGAGCTTGGGAGCCTCAGAGCCCGAGGCGGGGGCCTCGGTGGCGGGAGCCTCAGCGGCCGTCTCCTCGGCCGTCTTGTCGAGGGGCTTCTTCTCGCCGACGGGAGACTTGCCGCGGCCCTTGATGGTGGCACGGAGCTTGGAGAAGGGACCAGTCTTCTCGGGCTTGTCACCCTCCTCGTCAGAGGTGGCAGGGGACTTCTCCTTCTTGCCAAAGGCGAAGGGCAGGGAAGACTTGCGCTTCTCGGCCTTGGCCTCCTTCTTGGGCTCAGCGGCGGCGGCGGCGGGAGCGGCCTCGGTGGTCTCGGTGGGGACCGTGGCGGGGCTGGCAACCTCGACGGCCAGGGGAGTGGTGGTCTCAACCTGGGGAATGACGGGGGCGTCCTGGGCGACAGGGGCGACCTCCGTCTCCTTGGCGGGAGCGGCAGGAGTCTCGGTCTCGGCGGCCTTCTTCTCCTTCTTGCCGAAGACGCTGCCGAAGATGCTGTTGCGCTTGGTCAGGGGAGCGGGCTTCTCCTCAGCAGGAGACTCGGCAGCAGCAGCAGGGGCGACAGCGGCGTCGGTAGCGGGGGCAGCCTCAGCAGCGACGGGGGCAGCAGGCTCGGTGGTGGTCTCGGCGGCGACAGCAGGGGTCTCAGTGGCGGAGGCCTCAGTGGTGGCCTCGACAGGCTTCTCAGTCTTCTCCTCCTTCTTGCCGCCCAGGAGGTTGCCGAAGATGCTGCCACGCTTGCGGCTGGCAGAGCGGCGCTCCTTCTTCTCCTCCTTGACGGGCTCCTCAGAAGCGGCGGCCTCGGTGGTGGCAGCGGCAGCGACAGGCTCAACAACGGTGGGAGTCTCGGTGGCGGGAGCGGCGGCCTCAGCGGGCTTGTCCTCCTCCTTCTTGGCGGCAGGGGCGGGAACGCTGGGCTTGAAGGTCTCGAGAGTGGCCTTGTAGGTCTCGGTCTCAGGGACAGTGGTGGCGAGCTCCTTGGCCTCGGCAATCTTGAGCTTCAGCTGCTCAACCCAGTTGTCACGCTCGGCAGTGCTGGAGGCCTTGAAGGCGTGCTTGTGGCCCTTGGCGGTGAAGAAGAACTTGTTGGGACCGTCGGTAACGGGCTCGGTGGCCTCGGACTGCAATCAAGTTAGGGCCAGTTCGACGAAGTAAAAGCGAGAATGGCGACTTACCAGGTTGATGACGCCGACAGGGCTGGACTTCTCGCCGAAGAAAAGGAGGCCCTTGCCGGTCTGGGAGGCCCAGGCAGTGGTGTTGCGGCCAGCCTCGACGTTCTTCTCGCTGCGGCGGTAGTGGGAGAGAGTGGAAGGCTCAACGGCATCGGTGCCGAACCAGAAGAACTGCTTGGAGTAGATGAAGTTCCTGCAATGGTTAGCATCAGTGGTCGATTTTACATCGAAGGAAGTACGTACTTGGGGAAGTTCAGTCCCTTGTGCTCAAGCTGACCCTCCTCGACGGGAACGACCTCCTCCTTGGTCTCCTCAGCAGCGGCAGCAGCCTCAGTGGCAGCGGCCTCAGGGGCAGCCTCGGTGGTGGTAGCGGCCTCAGTGGTGGTGGCGGCAGCCGGGGCGGCCTCAGTAGCCTCGACAGGCTTGGCCTCGACGGGAGCCTCAGCAACGGGGGCCTCAACGGCAGGCGCAACAACGGGAGCGGCGGTCTCCTCCTTGGGGGCCTCGACGGCGACGGGCTTCTGTTCCTCGGCCATTTTGCTGGTTTGTTGTGGTAAAATGGGGTATCGTGTGAGAAGGCGGATAGTGGGGGTTGGGTATCTAAGAGTTTGAGTCGAGACTCGGGTATCACAATGAAATAGACTTCTCGGGGTGGAAGGAAAGCAGTAAAAAGAATTACTGATGAACCAGGCTGTGGG